CAGACATTTTAAATGTATATTTATATATAATCTTTTAAAAAACCCATAGATGCTAGCATTCTATGCACATTTCTGCATTTTGCATTTTCACTCATACATCTGGAAGATATTTCTATATCAGTACATATAATTAATCTCATTTTTAAAACAGCTGCAAATAATTCTAGTAACTGAATGTATAATTGATCTAACTAATCTCCTGTGGATATACATTTAATAATTGTTTGCTACCTGAGTCAGTGCTGCCTTTATACATATATTTTCATGTACACGTGCATTTATATATGTAAGACGCATTTATAGAAGTGGAATTGCGAGGTTTGATATATTTATAAAATGTATCAAACTTTTAAAAGCACATGCATCAAAAGGTCTGATACATTTTTAAATCCATCAGTTATTGCCAAATTACTTTGTATCGTGTGTGTGTGACAATTTACAATCCTGCTAATGATGTATAAAACCATTTGATTCTGTACACCCTTAATGAAACAGTGTGTTCCTTACACTTTTCATCTGTGCTCAACTCTTAGGTCACAGTGGGGTTTCAATATGGTCTTATCTTATTATGAGACAGGTTGAGAATCTTATTGTAGGAACTATTTGTATTTCCTTTTCTGAGAACTATCTGTTCATAACATTTGCCACTATTTTTCCCTGGGCTCGTTATTCTTTTTGTTCTTGATTAATATCTGGTGGAATATTTATTCCTACTTTTTTTTTTCATTTGGACTTTTGAATTAGCTTGTCCACTTCTTAAAAAAAAAAATCTATTGTATTTTGTTGTCCAGGATGGAGTACAATGGAGTGATCCCAGCTCACTGCAACCTCTGCCTCCTGGATTCCAGCAATTCTCCTGACTCAGTCTCCTGAGTAGGTGGAATTATAGGCAAGCACCATCACGTCCAGCTGATTTTTTGTATTTTTAGTAGAAATGAGGTTTCAACACGTTGGCCAGGCTGGTTTTGAACTCCTAACCTCAGGTGATCCACCCACGTCAGCCTCCCAAAGTGCTGAGATTACAGGTGTGCACCACCATGCCTGACCAAAAATTATATTTTCATTGGGCTAAGTTACATTTATGGTTTAAGGAAAACTGACATTTTGATGTCTCTTCCTGTATGAGGACAGGGTATATCTTTCCATTTATTCAAGACATAAAGTGGGCTTAAACAGGCACATTTTAAACAGATAGCTACTTGTGGAGTCCAAATTGAGAAGGGCAAGAATGGAAGCAGGATGACCAATTAAGTGGTTCTGCGGTGGCCCAGGAAAGAGATGATAGAGCTTAGACTAGTACTGGGGGTGAACAGATTTGAGATCTGTCCTGAAGGAAGCAGCAATTAAACTTTCTCGTGGACTGGATATGGGAGTAAGACAAAGGGAAGAATAAGGATGATGCTAGGTTTTCAACTTAAGTCATTGAGGGACTAGTGATGCTGTGTGATACAGGAGACAGAGATCCTAGAAGAAGGCTTGCTTAGAAGGAAAGTCCCTAAGCCTCAAACTCCAGGGAGGGTGCTCACAGAAGCTCTTTCAGTGGAGACACAACCAACTGAAATCACAACCAACCAGGGCCTCCACCAACCCATTTGGTACCTTTGTGTGAATTTTTAAATGGTGCCTTTTCTGGGAGGACAAGGGCCCAAAGGTATACTCAGCGAGGAATACATGAGTTGAATTTTGGCCCCTACTTAGTCTCTTGACTGGTGCTACTGTGTTATGAGCAACCTGCAAGACCATACCTGGAAGCCTTGGAACTAATCTCTGACTAGGGCATCTGACTCATCCACTCCTATAAAGTATTACCCTGCTCCTTAAACTTAACTCAGAATGGCCCCTGACTCTAATGTTCTGCTTCTCAGCAAGATCCTCATTTCCATCTATTTAGAGATCTGCCAGTTACAATGAATCTGACTGCTGCGGGATTAACTATGCATTTCGGCATTTGCCTTGTCTCTCCTAAACCTTGAATTTAGTGCACAGAATAAAATATAGCCTTAAATCATCTTGGCTACTATAAATCTCAGAATGATGCTTTTTCTATACTTATGCCATTCCTATTGCCCAATTTGAAAATGTCCTGGTCCATTTGAAAACAGACCCAGTTAGCTGCAAAGAGCAAGTTGTAAGTTGTAAATTGCATCTGAAAGTAAGTTGTAAGCAGCAAGTTGTAAGTCGCCAGTTGTAAGTAAGTAGCAAGTTGTAAGTTGCCAGTTGTTAAGTTGCCAGTTGTAAGTTGCAAGTTGCATTTGAAAGACCACTCGCTTTAAACCATTCTGATTCTGAATCATCTGTTTGGTGCTCTTTGATTCCAGCCTCCAGCCTCTAGGTCCCCCTGGCCTCTAGGTGACACCTCTCCAGTGTTGAGCTTGCTCCTCAAAGGCAGTGGACCGAGGCAGATTTTGAAAAACTCTGCCTTCAGTCTGACAATCCCTGTTCTTTTCCTGCACCTTCCCATGAAACAGCAGGCTCGAAAATAATTACTCATGCCCTCATGACTGATTGACTACCCCCAACCCAGGGGTTCTCCCTTCCTTAATCCCCTCCGTTTTATTTATACCATGAGGACTTCAGGAGGGCCGCAGGAGTAAAGGGGGGGCCTACATTTCCATTAGTCCTTGCTAGGGGCAGTGTTACACTGCTTGGTAATTGCTAATTCCCCACTCCAGGTGCACAGTCCCCTCTCCCCAACTGAGCTAAGATGTAGGCTATTGATGCTTTCATGCCCAGCCCAACTATGAATCAGTTGACTTCCAGCTATTCCTCCTTGTACCCAACAGGAGCAATAATAACAACTGAGGCAAGTATGCAAAGCCACAACCTAAAAGAAAAGAGACACATTGTTCCATCTGATCTACTGACAGCTAAGACAGACACTCCTTGGAATATACAAGAAATTCTCAGGCTGCTGCCAGGGCTCATTTTTTTCTTGTCTTCCCTGTGACTTTGCTCAGGGATTCCACTCTCAGCAGTTCCATCCTCTAGCTCTCTCCATCCTCACATCAAAGCCTCAGGGATATAGAAAGAAGCTTGTCTTCGTAAAATGTGCCAGGACCTCTGTCTTAGATAAAAGACGACTATGAGAAAAGAAATTATTTCATTATACTACTATGTTCCATCTGATTTCTGCTTTTGAGAAATAAACAACCATGGCTTGAGATGCTTTTAGTGTTTCATGGAGAATTGGGACTATTTCCCCGACATGCCCTGCTCCTCAGTTCCTCATTGCTTCTTCCCTTTTTGCCTCGTTGGACTCGAGGGGCGACCGTGAATGGTGAAATTTCTGACCAGGTAGAATACCAGGCAGGTGCAGGCTCCTGAAGCACCAGTAAGACTGACTCAAAAGATTGTAAATGGGTCAGCCAAGAGCATGCGCCACTGATGGCCAGTCAGGAGCGCTTCCATTTGCTAAAATATAAAAGGCATTCCTATCATTAAGCATCACAATTAGACAATCTCAAAGAAAAAAATGTTAGCTCTATTTGGCCTACGTGATATGCTCTAAGGAAGTATTTTAGAAAAGTTTTTTTTTTTTTTCTTTTAACAAAAATTTATTGACGGATCAAACGTGTTCTCTTTCTTGGTGTCTTTAGCTCGTAAAGTCGTTTTGTGAACTTCCTGAATCTGGCAATGAAATGAAATGGATGAGAAATGCTGAGAGATGATTTTCCTCAAGTATTTCAGCGGCCTCCAGACAGACCTGATAAATATTCAGAGAGTGATTAGCTGGTGCATCCCCACCTGCGTCCTTTGCATAGCCAGGCCCGCTACCATTTCACAGGCAGTTTTACTTGGTAATTTACAAATGTACTGGCTGCACTCTGCACCTGACAGTAGCGCAATAATTAGCTTGGGATGCAAAATGATTTCTAAATTAAGGTCCTGGACTTGTAAAATCAAGAAAGCCTGATAATCAACATCGTTGCTCTGGTGGCCAATGAATAACGGGATAAATGCCTAGGACAAGTCCCTTAACCATCCCACGTGGTGATACATGTCCGACATACAAATTAAAAATCTCTACTACACGCAGGTGAAATACCGTATAGGTCAAGAAGAGAAGACAGGGGAAAGGGTCAGTGCTTAATTATTTAAAATCGCTCTTTTTCTCCTGCAGAAAGGTCTAGAGGCTGGGTCTTTTAGGGCAAACGCTATGAGAGGGACATTTTGGCCAGGGGAGACCTCCAGCTGCTACAGGCTGCTCAAGCAGGGGCGTCGTGCCCTGGAGACACCGGGGGTCCTGAGGATGCGGTAGGGGCTCCCTGCTGCGTGTGCTCACGGGGAAAGGGGTGAGCGCTGGGCGGGAGGCCCGGGGCAGGTGCTGCGCGTGGAGCCCACTCCGGGACGCCGGCTCCTCTCGGCCGGGCACCGGCAGCGCAGAACTCCAAGCCCAGAGCCAAGACAGAGAGAGAGCGGGAGTGGGAGGAGGAAGGCGGGGAGAGGAGGAGGCCGGGCGGCAGGAGCGGAAGAAGAGGAGGCGAGCAGAGGCGGAGGAGGGCAAGAGGGAGGAGAGCCGGGCGCAGGAAGGGGAGGACGAGGAGGAAAGAGAAAGGCGGCGGAGGAGCGCGGACCCGCCACTCCCGGCCTCCTCCCCCGCATCCCCACCTCGGGCCATCCCTCCCCGGGCCGCCGCCGCTTCCTCTGCCCAGTCTTCCCAGCGCCGCGAGGCGCTTGCAGCCTCCTCCCCACTCGACCCGGCCCGCGCGGCGCACTCCCCCCTCGCGCGCCCCCGCCACTCTCGCCCGCGCGGCCTCGCACTCGGGGCATGCGCGGTGGGCGGTGCCGCTCCGGGCCGCCTCTACCGCCGCGAGTAGGAAGCGCGAGCGCCGGGCGCCGGGCTGTCAGTGAGCGTGGGGCCAGCGAGCGAGCCAGCGGCTCCGGCTCCGGCTCTGGCTCCGGCTCCTGCTCCGGCTCCCGCTCCCTCTCCGCGCCGCACCGGCCCGACTCTCCCCGGTCCCCGCCGCGCCCCCTCGCCGCCGCGACCTCGGCCCCCGGCCCGCGCCCCCCACCCAGGGTCGCCCCGGGCCCGCGCCCCTCCCCCGCCGCCCCCGCCCCCCCCCCGGCCCTCCCCGGCCGCTGCTCCCCGGCGGAGGCAAGAGGTGGTTGGGGGGACCATGGCTGACGTTTTCCCGGCCAACGACTCCACGGCGTCTCAGGACGTGGCCAACCGCTTCGCCCGCAAAGGGGCGCTGAGGCAGAAGAACGTGCACGAGGTGAAGGACCACAAATTCATCGCGCGCTTCTTCAAGCAGCCCACCTTCTGCAGCCACTGCACCGACTTCATCTGGTAGGTGCCCGGCCGGGCGCCCCTGCCCGCTGCTCCCCGCCTCCGGGTCCCGGCCCCGGGCGCTCGGGCGCGTCTGCTCCGGGGCTGGCTCACTCCGAGAACTTGGAGCCGGCGAGAGTCCGAACTCTCGCCCGGAGTGACACGCGCGCCTGGCCCTGACACCCGCGGGCAGGACTCCTGGGACGTCGCCACCCCGCCACACACCCCCTGGCGCGGGACGGAGGCTGGCCCCCTGCGCTGGCGGCGGGGATCGCTCCCCGGGCCGCGTCCCTCACCACCTCCCCATGCTCGCCCACTCGCACGCACCCAGCAGAGCGGCCGCTTGCAGGGATGGGAGCCCAGGAGACAGGGGAGGGGGACAGGCCAAAAGGGGCAGAGGTTCCTGGAGAAACGCGCCCGGGAGTAATGGGGGAGCGGCAGCGATCGCGCCGCGTGCGGTCCAAGTTGCTGGCGAGCCAGGCTGGGCGCGTTCGGGGGAGGGGGTGTGTTTGTGCTTCCAATAGGGCTGGACTGCGCTGGAATCTTGGGCCCCTGCCTACTGTAGGCTGCATCTACTGGGCACGGAGAGACTTTGACTTTTCTAAGTGAGCAGAGAGAGAACAAACTGTTGAAAGCTTGCAGTGGGGGAGGGGAAGTTCTAGCAGGCAAATGGCAGAAGGGCAGAGGAACTCATTTAAAATACACCCTGTTGTCCAGGCGCGGTGGCTCACGCCTGTAATCCCATCACGTTGGGAGGCAGAAGTGGGCGGATCATCTGAGGTCAGTAGTTCGAGACCAGGTTGGCTAGCATGACGAAATCCCATCTTTACTAAAAATACAAAATTATCTGGGCGTGGTGGCACACGCCTGTAATCTCAGCTACTCCGGAGGCTGAGGCGGGAGAATTGCTTGAACCCGGGAATCGGAGGCTGCAGTGAGCTGAGATCGGGCCACTGTACTCCAGCCTGGGTGAGACAGAGCAAGACTCTGTCTCAAAAAAATAAAACAGACCCTGTCAACACGAGATTAGACCTGTAGCCCTGTGGACGAGGACAGAGCTCTTAAGAAATATAATGTCAGGGCCAGAGGTGTCAGAGATCGAGTAACTTCCAATGAATGCAGGCATTCTTAACTCGAGTGGGCCATGCTGAGGGCTTATGGAGAACCCATAGGTAGAAGGGCTTTAGGGGTTTCTGAACCCTGTGGAACTGGGTGAAATTGTGTTTGTGAATCTTTTTCTTTCCTGGTGAGAGAATTACAGCTTTTATCTGATTTCTCAAAAGGTCTGTGACCATTCTTCCCAGATCCCCATCTCCCCACAAAAGTTTAGAAAGCTAGAACTAAAGGAGCTCTAGGTCCTGTAGATAAGACATACCAGTAGTTTGGTTTTTCTCTTAGGTTGCCCGATGTCCTGACTCTTCTACCTCTTCTTTGTGATGTAGGAAAAGTTACCGACAAGACAGAGCTATGGCAAGGGCTTCTAAGCTCCCTCCCCTTCTAGGCTGTAGGGAGCTGCACAGGGTGACAGCCACGGAGTGAATCTTGCCACCAGCCAGCTGTGTGGCACAGGTATCTTGGGCCACTAGGGTGAACATAGTGTGGATGGCTCTGTCTGAATCCATCAAATCTGGGGAAAAACATCCCAAAGGGCAAGTCCCATGATCGTGGTGCTAATATGGTGTTTAATTTTTCCTTTTCTTTTTAGACATCTGCTCCAAAGTACACTTTTCATAAAAGCACAACCACCTCTATGAGTGATTTCCACTGTCTAGTCAGCATATGAAGCGATTGTGCTGAAAGGAGTAGGTAATCGTAGATAAGGCTATTTAAAATAAAAATTTCAGAGCATCAAGGCAAAGAGAATCTTGCATTTGATTAAGAGGAGGTGGTCAGCTGTGAGAGTCCATTAAAAGGGAACAGACTGCTGGTGACTTTTGCAGGAAGTGGGAGAGTTGGACACGGGACTTGCAGCGTACCTAGGCTAGCTAATGTCTTTCAGCTATTAGTTTTCCTTGAAGGATCAGCCCCTGGTGAGCTGAATAGGTGCTCAGGTCACAGCAGTATTGTGAAGTGGAAAAGAAAGGCCTCCCTGAGTATCCCTGCAGCACTCTTCATTTCTTTGTAAACCAGTTGGAAGTCCCAGGAAAACATCCTCGGGGATTGTCTTTTTCAGTTTGCTTTCATTATTGCTTCTATGGGGTCCTTGACTTTCAAGTTCATTTCAATATTGAATCACTGATAGTTTTAAGCTAAATGTTTAGAGTTAGCTGTGGTTTTTGGTGGGGAGATGACTAAGTTAATTTTAAAAGTATGTGAAGTACTTTGTACACTTAAAATTCTATTCGAAGCAAGAGATTATGACTTTCAACCTTCTGAGGAAATTTTGATGCAGTTCATTCTAATGGAACACTAGTTGGCAATTGCATGTCCATGTCGGGGTTCTCTGCTTACAGAGTAAATTCTCTAAAGTAATTTACAAGAACAAAACAGTCTCTGCATGCGCTTTGAATGCTGTTAGTTTTCAGTAGAAATTAGATCATGGTAATCTCAAATTCAAACAGTAGGGTGATATTTTCTAAGATCTGGTTCCTTAAGCCAAAATTAAATGTTAAAAGCGATGCCGTTTGGCAATTTCTGGATGTGTAGTATTTTAAACAAATGCATAATAAGTAAGCCACTTGGTTGTCTTTAGAGAGAAAAAAGCAATTTTCATTTGATCTTCAGGAACAAAATTAAGCTATTTCCTTTTTAAATTTTAACCATAAACTCTTTTGTTACTTGAACATTGTATTGTAGCCAACAACTCTGAATATTCAGTCATGTTCTTGTCTTGAAGTTTTAGTATCAATAACTTAGTATAAAAAATTGGAAAGAAGCTTGATACATTGAAATTGTTCAGTGATCCTTTACAGGCAAGATAGTTTTCCCCCCAAGGTTGAATTTACACAGTAATCTGACTAGATATTTAGGTATTTTTTCCTATTAAATAATTACGTTTCACATACAGACCTTTAGCAGTGGAATACTTGGTCACATAACTTGTTTAAAACATGCTATCCAACACAAAATATGTTAAGATATTTTGTTCTCGTTTTTGTTTTTCAGGGGGTTTGGGAAACAAGGCTTCCAGTGCCAAGGTAAGCTGCCCCTTATGATTTTATTTTCAAGCACAACTTGAAATAAGCATTCCAAACAAGAACAGTATTTCCAGTCTTCTTTTCTTTCCAATTAAAAAAAAAATGTTATTTAGATAATATTTTTGAAATATGAGGGGGCTGTAAATTTGGGCCTTAAAAAAATAATTTGGGCCTACTAATCTGCATATAGAGCTGCTTTTTCTCATTGGGGGAAAAAAAGCCTTCCTGTAATTTTATTTTTTGCTGAGAACATTCTTGTCAGAAGCTGCTGTCTTTGTGTGGGTGTTGAGAAAAAAATGGAATCACTTTGTATTCAAGTGGCTTTTCTTCCTTGTTCTTCCTCTTTGTTTTTATATTCTTCGTTGCTTTTACTTATGTGATGGGTTGGACTCACTGCAACTAATTTTAGGCCATATTTCATTCTAGTAACGGTTTGTTTTGTTTAGATTACCAGTTGTCATCCAGAACAAAGTTTGCATGTTTTAAAGTTATGTTGATGATTTGAGGATGACTGATTTCCATGGTATGACTATGTGGCATGCTTTTCCTTCAGCTTACATACCTGACCACCCGTATGATACCAAATATCGCATACAGAAGGAAATCCATTTACTTCCCCCTCTGATCTGTAATTGCATTTCATACACGTCAAATATCTAACTTTTTGTACTCTCCATTCTATTTGTTTTTACTTTTCCGTTTTAAAGAAACCCACTTTATAATTTGTGAAGGCATCACAGGCTCGTTAGCTAACTTTTCTGGCTCTCTACTCATTGTCTATATTGTGCTTGTTTAGTTCTGGTTCCATTTTTGATCTGGTCATAGATTTATTATTAGGGCAAGTGGAAAGTACATTCTAGCCTGGAAAATATGATCCTAACACTGTTTAATACTAAATGCATTAGACAGAAAGGCACTGTGTACTTTCTTACAACTTTGAGATTGTGCTAGTAAGTTGGTTACCTTTTAAAGGCTTCTTCAAATTTGTGCACTTGTTTCTTGTATACATTTTCTAGACATATTTTAGTTGAGACTATTTCATGGCATAATTATTCATTTAATAGTCTACCTTCCCTTCTCCAAGATGTGCTTAAAACCCCTACTGAGTATATCATTTTTGGAATTACATTAGAAAATCAAGGGATATTCCTTTTAAAAAGAGAATAAAGACAAAGATGTGTTATACCAGCCTCTACAAAAGATGAAAGGAAAATATAGCTCTTTCTAGTTCTCAGAGTTCTGGGCCTGAACTTTGAGATTTGAGTCTAGCCTGGAACATGACTTTAGGGAGTTTAAAGATGTAAGGTTCTGGGCCAGTGTGATTGACATCTGTGATGTTTGGTGATATTTTTGGTTTGGGTGGGGACTTATGTAAATCTGTAAGAAAATTTTTGTACTGAATCTTCTCAGTACTACTTGTCCGGGAGAAAGTGGTTATCTTGTTCTAAAACTTTTATCATTTTCTGCATAAATAAAAAATAAGGTTGATTAGAATAAGGTTGGTTCCTCTTAGACCTGCTCATCTGAGCAGATTTTGTTGTGGAAATCTTAGAGTAGCCATATTACTCGGCTACCAGGGGTTCGGCATGGTTCCCCCCAAAGAGCACCTCTTGAACTTTTAGTGGATTAGCAGATTAAAGTCTCAATGCAGCATAACTCCCTTTTACCTAAATTAGAAATGTGAAACCCATAAAAATTTTAAACTGTATAAAATAAGAAGTGCACTCACACATACTTAGTTTTTAGAAGGAGATCAAAATTTTATACCACTCTGCAGTGTGCTTTTTTCCCCGTTCAGCAGCATACAGTGGATGTCCTTCCTTACTTACTGACATACAGTGGATGTCAAAGCATCTGTTCTGCCTTACTCTGTTTATTGGCTACATGTGTGGAGGCATCCAATTTGTTCACCCATTCCTCTATTGAGGGGCATTTTAATTGTTACTCAGTTCTTACTAGTACAAATACCTTTGTCAAGAGCATTTTTGGACACTAGGATAGGTGTTTCTACAATAGATAGAAATGTATATGTGTGCATCTTAAATTTTAATGGGTGCTGCTAAATTGCTCTTCAAAATAGTTTTTTTTTTTTTTGTATTAATGAGACTTCCCCTTCATTTTTACCAGTGAAGATACTGGATAATACACGTCTTTTACTTTTTTTTTTTTTTTTTTTTAACCAATCTGGTAGGTGAAAAGGGGCCCCTCTTTTAAATTTCCATCTTCTGCATTATGGGTGGGCTTGAACATTTTTATTTTTTAATGTCTTTTAGCCATCTGTGTTCGGTGAATTGCCTCACTTTATCTAATATTTGAAACTCTGGATTACAAACTAAACAAATTAGAGAAGTGACTATGTGCTTTCTGTATAGTTTTTTACTTTGGTGAAGGATTTAACCTCAGATCCTCTTTAGATAATGAATTACCCCAGTGTATTTACAAATTATAATTCACAGAAACCTTTTCAAATAGTATACGTTTATTTGTAACATGCTGTCTGCTTGTTATATTTTGTTTAGTCTCTCGTCTGTATTTGACTTCTAGTAGGCATATGCTAGTCCGTTATATTTTATTGTTTGTTGTAACTTAATTAGGAAGGATATGTTACTTCAAGATGATGCTTTTCATCCCACAAATGTAGTTACCCAGCATTTTCTGTTTTGGCTCTTACTTCAAAATTAACCTTTCTACTAACACCTGCCATTGTGGAGTGTGTAAGTTTCCTTTAACGCTCTCTCACTTCGTTTTTCCCTTGGTTTTGTTTGATAGAGCATCATTCTTCTGCAGGAGAATAACTCATTCTCAGCCATACCTTTGGTAACACACCCTCTGGAAATGACAGCTGGACTTTGAAACTGCTTTTTGTATTCCTCATAGATCAGAGTATTTTAACCAGATGAGGCAGTGCTTTCTGTCTACTAGTATGTAGTATGTGGCTTCGGTTAGTGGGTAAAACATCTACAGCAAGCATAGTTTTTCTTTCCTTTTTTTAAACTCGAGGGGTGCATATGCTCCCAATGACTCACATATTCATGCAGTAAGTAATACAGCTTTAGATCCAAAATATTGGCATCATTTTACTTAGTAAATAATGAGTAGGTACTTGAAGATGAAAGAAATAAGTGAGTTTTAGTCCTTAAAACTGGGTTTGTAGTTTATGCCATTTAGAGAAGGGCATTTTACAAATACGTGAAGCACTAAGGGTATTTCCTATTTCTACTTTCATTTATTTTGTATCTTGGGGAAGGGAAGGACCTTTTCCCAGAGAGAGATTTATTGGCTTATTCCCACTTTCCCTTCATGGACTCTATGCCATTCTTCTTTATGTTGCCAGATAGGTGTACAACCCTGAAAACTTATATTACCAGAGCAAGTAACACGGGATGCCATTGTCAGAATTTGCTGCCTGAAACAATGAAACCAAGGGCCATCCTGTTGGGGAGGAGAAAAGACGAGTGTGTAGTAGATTTCCAAGTGGGAAATACTTTTCTTACGGTCCTTAGAGATAAAGACAAGCATGTTCCTCTGAAGCTCTGAAGCGACCCTTTTTACCTGACTTGGAGTTGGCTTCTGATTTTGGGCTGAATAGTTTTTGCTTGATATACTCCTAGCACTCATTTCTTCTCTATATGACTAGCAGAGATCTAGTCTTTGCCCACTTTTTTTTTTTCTTCCTCAGAGAAAGAAGAAGAAAGGGAAGTAAATTTGTGTGGTCTGGACATTAATGAAGTTGAGTTTCATGTCTGGAAGGTCTGTTTCCAGTCGGTAGCATCTGTCTTGCACTGGCTACTTCCAAAGTCAGTCATTATAGAACAGAGCGATTCACCGTATGGATTTGTGTTCAAATCCGCTCTTCCTCTGTCTGGGGCGATGGAGCTGAAACAGTGTTACTTACTGCTTTCAGTATTGGAAAAGGGAAAGAGCCAACTCGATTTTTTTCCCCCTCCTTAGGCGGAGCAACACCCATGCACTTCTCTAATTACAGTGGTAGAAACAGCCTCTCAAAATGTGACCTGCTTATTTCAAATGCCATACAGTTACGTAGTTTGTTACATCTGCCTAAACTCCACTTGTTTTCCCTGTCTGGAAAGGTTTCATGTCTGGAAGGTCTTTGGTTTTGTTTTTGTTTGCTCTTCTTTGTCTTTTAATATCACAAATTAAAATGTAATATAAACCCAGGCTCTTTGGTGAAGATACCCTCAAGAGACAGCATGAGAATTAAGCTCTGCCAATAATCATGACCAAGAGGAGCCTGTTGTCCCTGAATGATCACCACTGGATTTTTGAGGGGTTTGCTGGGAAAGAATTCACATTTTTGTGCTTTGAATGATGCCACTAAGAAGTGGTTTTGAATCTTGAGTCATTTCCCTGCTAAGAACACACATCACTTATTGTACTTTACCTGTGAATCCAACTGAAGCTCTGCATTTTGCAGTGTTAAGGGTTAAGAAATCAGCTTCTCTTCCCCTTTGATATTTTGTTTTGAAGGCCTCTTTCAGGGAATATATTTCTATTGGCTCGTCTGAGCAGGGTGGTGGTTTCTGTTCCTTCTATAAGAATGAAAGTTGGTGTTTGTGGGAAGAAAAAAACAGGAGTCTCCTCTTGGCTTTTTGAGCTGAGGGATTCCAGAAAACAAGACTGACTTAAGGAAGGTAGCCTTTAAACAGAAAGGGCAGTAGCAGTTGAGTCGCTGGCCTTTCAGAAAAGGGATGCACAGTTGTCCTCATCTGCCAGGGTGTTCTGAGAGCCGAGTTTTATGGACACCAAGTGTCAGGAGATAGGAGACTGATGTCAACTTGGGTGGAATCCTGAGGTTGGCCAACTTGAGCAGGGGGTCTGTCCTCCCTGTGTACTGCACTGACCACTGTTTGCCCTGTTTGGCTTCTGGCTGCCCACTGGTCTTCAAAGTTAATGCCAGGGTTTTCCATGATTCTGTCTTCAAGAGGGGTTTGGCCCTTGGTACCTCATTTTTGCTTGGTTACCCATCCCCAAATTGTAAG